TCATTTTCCATCCCCTGGTCCCTTCCTCTACTCAACTGACGCTCCTTCAATTTTCATGAGATTCCCCCACCACACCCTTTTCTTTTTCCTCTCTAGCTTCAATATGACAGAAAACATGCCTGACATTTGAGATTGGCCAATTTCACTTAACGTGATGTTCTTGAGTTCCATATATTTTCCAGCAAATAACAATTTTATTCTTTATATGGTTGAATAAAACTCCATTCTGTATATATGCATTTTATTTACCATTCATCCATTAATGGACACCTAGTCTGGTTTTATAATTTGGCCATTATGAATTGTACTGCTATAAATATTGATGTGGCTGCATGCCTTATAGTATGTTGATTTTAGATCTTTTGGAAATCTACTGAGGGGTGGCATAGCTGGGTCATATGGTTGTTCCATGCCTAGTTTTTTGAGGAACTTCAATACTGATTTCTATTGTAGTTGCTAATTAACAATCCCACAAACAGTGTCAGACTGTTCTTTTTTATTCACATACTTTCCAGCATTTATTATTTGTATTCTTCATGGCTGCTATTCTGACTGGAGTGAGATCAGTCAGTGTAGATTTGATTACCATTTCCCTAATTGCTCATGATGTTGAAGATTTTTTTCATATATTTGTTGGCTACAACTCTTCTTTTGAGAAGTATTTTTTAGTTTATTTGCCCATTTGTTAATTGGGTTATTTGGTTTTATGGTGTTAAGTTTGAGTTCTTTATATTTTTGATTTAATATAATATAATCCTCTATCAGAAGAATGGCTAGAAAAGATTTCTCTCTCATTATGTAGGTTCTTTCTTCAAAATCTCAATTATTTCCTTTGCTATATAGAAGCTTTTTAATTTTATGCCATCCCATGTATTATTTCATGAGCTTTAGGGATCCTATTAAGAAAGTCACTGCCTGTGCATATATGCTGGAGTGTTGACTCTATCTATTCTTCAAGGAGTTGCATAGTTTCTATTTTGAAAATCCTTGATTCATTTCTAGTCAATTTTTGTGCAGAGTGAGTGACAAGAATCTAGTCTCATTTTGTACATATAACAAGTTTTCTCATTTGTAAAAAGAAATTTTCAAACTTCAGTCACTGAACTATGTTCATTCAATTCAGTGGGAAGATGGGGCTAAGAAATAGGATTTGATCATTTTATTAGTCTTTGTTATATATAAATCAAAGATCCATAGGTATATTAGGGAGGGTTTAATTGTGAAGAACTGATTTATTTTAACTAGCTTTTAGCAAGAGTGTTTTATGACAGGCATAATTGACTTACAAAATTACTGAGATTGTGAAGTCAACAGAATTCATGGTAGTCTTTCAAGAATAACCCTCAAAGCCAAGCAATAGAACTAAGCCCTTAGAGGTGAGACTGAAGTCTTCTAAAATCAAGAAACCACCAGCTCCAGAAGCATATGCCACTGTCTTGGTTAGGAGGCCACCATGATCAAGATGGCGCCACACTGAGGAAACCATCCTCATCCCAAGGGATTTTATTCTTGCCACTTCCAGCATCCCACTATGTCTACTATGATTTACACCAGCAAAATGGCTGCCCTGTGAGCTGCCTCTTGACTCTCATAAGGTCAATAGGTAAGCAATGAGACATGCATTAATGCTACTGCAAGGAAGCCCAAATGCCTCCATTACTGGGCTTCCCCCCCCCGCCCCTGCATAAAATATAAAATAGGGCTGGGGATGTGGCTCAGTGGTCGAGTGCCCCTGAGTTTAATCCCTGATAAAAAAAAAAAAAAAAAAAAGGCAAAGGTTCACCTTCATCTCACTTCTAACTTTCAAATTTCATGCACCTGCATCTGACTGACTGAATCTAAACACATCCAGACTCTAATTGCAAGGTAGCCATAGAAATATGAATTTTAGTATTCCATCTTCATCAGTATAATACACACACTAGAATTAGGGTGAAATGGATGTTGAACAGTTGAACTGTACTATACATTATCCATTCAGTCACTTAATATCCATATGCACTATTTTCCCTATTCATCAGCTCCCCAAAACTATCAACTTGTATCAATGATATTGCATAAAAACATAATGCAATTATATCTTTCACAGATTAAAATGCAATCTGCCCTCTCCCATAACAGGAAGCCCAAAGAAAGTTCCATCTGTCAATCCGTCCAATCTCTGGGTGAAAGTTTGTTCCTCCTCTAATAAACTGTAGTAGAAAGTCGCTTAGCGATAACACGCTCTGTGTAAAACATGAGAATAAGGTCTTTTCATACTTATAAATATATATGAAATAATATAAGAAAAATATGACCAACAGATAACAGTCTTCATTTCATAAAGCTTCAGATGAAATTTGGAACTTCTTTGTCCTCTCCTCATTTCTCTTTCACTTTGCCTTAGGACAGCACCTAGATTGGTTGGGTACTTTGAAATATTGTGATAAAATGACATTCTTCACAGAACTAGAAAAAAAATCCTAAAATTCATAAAAAAGAATAAAATACTGAGAATATCCAAAGCAATTCTAAGCAAAAAGAGCAATGCTGGAGGTATCCAAATACCTGATTTTCAATTAAATTGCAACATTATAATAATAAAAAATAGTATAGTAGTGGCATAAAAATACATACAGAGACCAGAATAGAAAATAGACAAAACCACACAAGTACGGTCATCTGAACTTTGACAAAGATGCTAGAAATGTACATTGAAGTTAGTCTCTTTACAAAAAAGATGGAGCTGGAAAAACTTGTTGCCCTTATGTAGACTAACACAGTTAGATCCCCATCTCTCAACATGAACAAAGTCAGATCAAGCTGTACCTAAGACCAGGTATGAGACGAGAAACACCTCAACTTATAGAAGAAAATACAGGGTCAATAATCCAACAAATAAGTGCCTGAAACTTATTTAGGAGTTCAATAGAACTCCTAAAGTTCAGGTAATAGAAGCAAGAGTTAATAAGGGATGGCAGCAAATTAAAAAGCTTCTGCACAGCAAATGAAATAATTAAAAACATGAAGAGAGAACCTACAGAATGGGAAAAATCTGTGCCAACTACTCTTCTGATAAGATTAATATCTAGAAACATATATAAAGAACTCAAAAAGCTTAACACTAAAAAAAAAACCCAAGTAACCCAATCAATAAATGGACAAATGAACTGAACAGGCACTTCTCAAAAGAAGAAATACAAAGGAACAAGTATATGAAAAAATGTTCATCATCATTAGTAATCAGGGAAATGCAAATCAAAACTACACTGAGATTTTATCTCACTCAAATCAGATAACAAGCTTCAAGAATACAAGTACTAATTGCTGGCAAGCATGTCATGAGGATCACTGCTACTCATTTATCAAAAAGAATTAAAGACCAGCATAGTACAGTGGCACATTCACACCCATGTTTGTAGCAGCACACTTCACAAAAGAAAAACTGTGGAACCAGCCTAGGTGTCCATCAGTCAATAAATGGATAAGAAGAGACACACACACACACACACACACACACACACACACACACACACACACACACTGGAGTTTTATTCAGCCACAAAGAAGAATGTAACTATGTCATTATTTGCAGGAACATATATGAAAATTTAGAGCATCACATTAAGTAACATAAGATAGAATCAAAGTCAAGGATGAGTATGTTTTCTTTCAAAATGTGAAGGTTGGAGAGAATAAAAGGAAAAAAAAGTGAAGGTGGGGAAATCTCATACAATTAGAAGAGAGATCAGTTAAGTAGAGACAGGAGACCAGAGGAAGGGAGTAGGAAAGGGCAAAGGGAGGGACTAGGGAATGAAAGTGACCAAATTATGTGCGTATATCAGTATGTCACAATGGATCCATTATGTGTAATCATTATACACCAATAAAATTTTAAAAAGTCATAGCAATCCAAATGTTCATTCTTTTAAAATTTATTTTATGTATTTCTATTGTGCATTATAATTATACAAAATAAAAATATGTTTAAATTCTCATACATGCACATAATATAACAATAAATTTGGTCAATTGCATTCAAGGTGCCCCCTTTAGTCCTCTCTTCCCAGTGTTCATTCTTGAGATCAAAGCCCATAGTGACTTCCTATGGTCACAAATGGAAGTGGCAATCCTACACATGCTTCAGAGCATCTTCCAATTCCAATTCCTCACTATTCACATTGTATACCAGAAACCGTAGCTGAAAACAAATCTGGAAAATGTTTGGCTTTCTAGACATCACAGTAGACAAGGCCCTTGAAGGCAGATGAAATGGGTACAGTGCAGGGTGTTAGGAGGATTAATCTTCCATGAATTGAGGCAGGGATAAATTCTAGTGTTTGAGCAGAGTTAAGCCTTAGCTTCACAGGGAAACAAAGATATGAGACCATCCACCATGAACTCAAAACAGGGAAAGATGATCCCAATGCACAATCCACGCTTCAATATAAAGCTGTTTCATTCTGTCATTCTTCCATAGCCCAATAATACTATTTATCTACACTTGATTTACTCCAAGATATTGTGGGTATTCTTTCATCTTCTCTGCACTGAACTAATACAGCTTGTGAGATTCACCTTTATGTAAAGCCCAAAAGGAAATATTGTTCATACCTATTTTCTCACCTAATTCATGCAAGGTTTCCTGGTTTTGAAACACAGTAAATTGTTCTGATAGCCTGTGAAAGGAAAAGCACTTCTGCAATTTCTTTGAATGAGTCTTCAATAATATCACAGTGCATTTGTATCTCTTTCACACCACTGGGCCAGGGCTGTGAGGTCTCATCCTTTGTTGCTTTGCCGAATGCAGCTTTGGTAGTGGCGATTCAAACATACAAATCAGGCCAGGGATGCAATTTTGGTCTCATTAGTAAGTCCTGATAATTGGGTCATACAGGGATGATTTCTTTCCCCGGGGTGGCTGCAGGCAACATCCAGAAAAAAAATTTCTAAATATTCAAGCAATCATGATCTCAAGGCAAACTTCAAAATTAATTTGTCATTTGATAATTTCTTGACAGGTTGGTTACTGGAAAGACATGGAACAAGAAGATGCAGCAGAAACAGTCAAAACTAGGGGGAATGAGTCATTTATCATCCTGACAGGATTAGAAGGAAATACCTTATATCACTTCACAGTGCGGGCTTACAATGGAGCTGGATACGGGCCACCTAGCAGTGAAGTGAGTGCAACCACCAAGAAATCCCGTAAGTGACCTGGGCTTTTGTTTGTTTCAGACAAAAAGGAAACACATTTTCATGTTTCTGAAAGCCATGTGAGGTACATAATAAGCAGAGTCAACGGCGGGGTGGGGAGGGGTGATTCATAGTCTTGCTTCAGTGCTTAGATCTGAATTCCAAAACTAGCTCAGAAATTTTTGCATTCACAGTAGATAAAGGTTATCTTCCTGTGAAACAAGGCTAAGCGATTCTGACACCAAAAGCAGATAAAAGGATTCAAGTTCAAAAGCTCAGTGGAGGAGCTATTAAAATGACACTCCTAGAGCAAAACCCTCCTTATCTGACTCCAGCTGGAGGGAAGCCTAGGGGGCTGGCCAACTACTAAACACGTGAAAAGACTCAAATACTTGAGAGGATTTAAATGAAGACACATATTTAAGAATCCTTGTCCGTTCACTTTCGCTTATTTTGCAGCCCCCAGTCAAGCACCTAGCAACCTCCGGTGGGAGCAGCAAGGCTCTCAGGTGTCTCTGGGCTGGGAGCCGGTCAGACCTTTAGCCAATGAATCAGAAGTCATGGGTTATAAGGTGAGTGTTTCTTCATTCCTGGCATACACATTCATCCCAAAAATCGTTCTCGTGAAGACAGACCATTAGCAAGGCATAAAAAGGCCCACTAATAAGCCTTTTGTATTCTCTAAGTCATTTTCTGTCTAGATCTTAGAATGAGGCACCTGCCTACAGATGGAGGAGGCCAAGGCAGTCACACTCAGTACCCACACTGCACAAGGTACAGGAAGGGAAGGAGTAGGAAATGCAACAACAGTCTGAATTCAGTGTGAGAATCATTCAGTATGAATAGCTCCATGACACATGGTGCCAGGCAGAGGATCCTGGCACATCTTCCCACACACAAACTCCTGGCAGATGGCAAAGACTGGACATCTTAGACTGAATAGAAAGACTTACTATTAACAAAGAAACACAAGAAAGAAATGCTAGGGCCAGCATGCTAGATAGGAAAGAGTCCATGGAGAGAGACGACGGCAAGCTCCAAGACACTTCTCACACTTATCCTGCCAAATGCCAACCAGAGATCTGAAATAGGAAGACATCTACTCAGCTTGTTTTTTAAAAAACAACCTTGATTTTTAAATACATGAGGTCTGTACATTGAATTTGCTTAATTTCAAAATCTTGTTCCAGAAAAATCAGCTTCAGTTTTTTATCTTAAACTCCATACAAAATTATTAGTTGAATATTATTTGTAGATTTGAAAATACTTTAATAACAATGTGTAGACTGAGAAGCATTATTATTATTGGTGTGTTTTCTGCTATCAGAGATGGTCACACAATGTGTTTTCTGTATGAAGTGCCAAAACTCTGATACTTAAAAACTGAAGTTATAAATGGGAAATACATTGTTTTGATAAGGAGTTCTCCTTAATATTTTAAGACACAACCTGCAGCATTTCTTACCATAATTAGTATATATGATAAAACTCTCTCACTCTCAAACTCACACACATACTGAAATCTGTCTTTAATCCTCAGGAATATTGAATTTGAGCTTTTGGTAATGGGTGGGTGTTTTAGTTAGCTTTTGTGTTGCTGTGACCAAACGATCTGAGGAGAACAGTAAAGGAGAAAAATGTCTATTTTGGTTCACAATTTCAGAGGTTTAGTCCACATTTGGTCTCTAGATATAAGAACATCATAGCAGAAGGGTTGGGTGGAGGAAAGCAGCTTAGAACGTGGGAACCAGGCAACAAGGAAGCAGAGAGAAAGCTCTACTCATCAGGCACAAATACAAACCCCAAAGGCACACCTCAAGTGATATACCTCCTCCTGCTACACGCTACCTGCCTACAGTTACCACCTAGTTAATCCGTGTCAGTGGATTAATAGTTACACTTCACATAATCTAATCATTTCACCTCTGAACATTCTTTCATTGTCATACACATGAATTTTGGGGGCCACATCATATCTAAACCATAACAGTAAACAACCCCTTTTGGGGGTCTTTCCTGTAGCACTCTTACCTAAATCTTTCCAAAAGACCATGTTCTCATAATTTGCCCTCTAAAGCAAATATAACTTTCAATGATTAGGAGTAGTAGTGTTTTCAGAAATGTTGACACACCATTCAGAAACCAACTTACTATCATTAGGACACTGGCAAGCAATCTCCTGAACTAGAAAGCAAATTAAAATTCCAGAAACAGCGAGGTAAAAACATATATGGCTAATTGCAGGAATCATGATTTTAGGCATCTCATTAAAATAGAACCCATTCAGATAAACATAAAGCATTACTTAGTGCAGTATTTCTCACTGCTATATTCTTGAGACTGCTCAAGAGATTCTGGATTTGTTGGGGTTTTAAGTAGTCTATATTAACAGCAATAATTTCAAAATATCACAGCTTCTATTAGTAAGTAAAAGAATATTATGAAGAACCAGAAAATTGTTGGAAAAGATATGTCCGTTTTACATAGACCTTAAGATATAATATTAACACAATTTATTCCCACTTAAGATAATCTATTTAATAGGTTGAATAAAACTTGATAACTTATTTATCATATTCATGACTTTTTCTGGTCAATTAGCCAGTGCCACTTTATTTTATTTACATTTCCCAATCTGAGATCAACTGCAATATTTTATCAATGCATTATTTATAAATGACTAGGAAAGTGGAATAAAAACTTCAAATAAAAGCTTCACTAACTTGGTATCCCCCCCCCCAATTATCTTGCATTAAGAAGATTGTATTTTGGTAATTTCATTCATTCAGGGTCTACATCTACAATCCTTGGTGATTTGAGCACATATTATAAATATGTTAGTGGCCTTACTTCAGAAATGCCAATAACAAAACTATGAACTAAAGTAAATTCTCTCAAAATTCTTCTTAATGATCTTGGGAATGGAGGGTATTTTTTTATAACACCATGAAAGAAGTTTATCAAGATTATAAAGTAAATAGCTAATTTATCTATTCCTTGTTTCGTCATACAGATTTTAATGCCCAACTGAAAAAGAAAATAAATACTGAATGCCCCAGGGCTATGCTCTCACTTGTGTAAATATCCCTTTTCCTATAGAGAGAAACTTTTTTCCCCTTCAGAAAAGAAACAAGCAGTTGGAAAAAAAAAAAAAAAAACTGGGACAAGGGGCCTAAGGCTATATAAACAATTTGTTTTTTTTAAATTTTTGTTTTAGTTTTTCTGGCAAGCAGCTAGAAAATATCCTTTCCTAGACTTACAAT